TGGATAAAGAAAATACCGTATACATCCAATGGAGTATTATTCAGCCATAAAAAAGAATAAAACCTTGCAGTTTGCTACAACACAGATGGACTTGAGGGTATTGGCTAAGTGAAATAAGCCAGACAGAGAAAGACAAACACCATATGATCTCACTCATTTGTGAACTCTAAAAAGCACACATACACACTCACAGATATAGGTGAAATGGGTGAAGCGAATCAAAAGGTACAAACTCTCAGTTATAAAATAGATATGTCATGAGGATGCAATGTAAAGCACAGCGAATATAGTTAATGATACTGTATTGCATATTTAAAAGTTGCTAAAAGAATAGATCTTAAAAGTTCTCATCACAAGAAAAAAATACTTTGTAACTATGTATAGTGATGGATGTTAACTAGACTTACTGTCATGATCAGGTAGCAATTATACAAATATTGAATCATTATGTCATACACCTGAAACTAATATAATATTGTATGCCATTTATACCTCAATAAAAAAATTAAAAAGAAGTTCATGTTTAAAGAAAGGCTGATCTATTAAATAAACAATTATGTAAAAAAACAAAAAAGGCCTGATCTTTTGAAAGAAACTCATTCCATCTTCACTTAATAATAAAATCCACTCTGAGATTTAAAGAGAAGCAACTACAGTTATACAGAATATCACAAATCAGTTTTGTGAGTTATACAAATTACAGCAAAGAAAAACAGGAGCTATTTCAAAGGCCTATAGTCAAAAACTTAGAACGGAGCAAAGAAGTTAATTCTTTTATGACCTTATAACTCTGAATAGAAAGCCACAGGTCAATATCTTGCACATATTGCTTGTTACCAGCACTATCAACACAACTTCTTAAGTAATTCAACTGCACAGGAAAACAGTTAATTACACAAATCCCATTTTAAGATGTGTACCACTACACAATTTCCCTTTATTATATAATGTAGTAGTTCTAATCACAAGGTAGAAGTAGCTTGGTTTCCTTGATAACCTTAAAGTGCATCTATCATTAGATGTGATCCAATGCATGATATGAAAATTATTAGCTGAGAACCATTAAGAAAAATCTCTGGATCACTGGAGTTTACAAAAGCAAGATCCAAGTTATTTGAGACTATGGGTCTAAGACACTTAAGAGTCAAACCTAGAAGAAGGCTGAAAATTATCCAGAGAAGCAGGCAGGACATGTCAGCTGAATAAAGGTTTCCTTTATACCAGGGTTGAAGTTCAGCCTGATAAGTAACTCACTCCTACCCCAATGGTAGCTCCCAACTACTGGTATACAGAGTCAAATGCTTGTAAAGAATGAGTCCAGATCTTTCATATGATGACACACCAGATCACTGGCAACCATGAGATGTTTTTACTAGTCTTTTCACTCTATTGCCTTTAGTTACTTCATTTAGGTATGCCAGGGCATCCACTTTTCTTTTTGGTATCAGAGAGCAGCAAGCATGTGACAAAACTTCATATAATCTGAATATGTTGAACAGGTCTTTCTTAACCTCCCAGCCCAACCCCAAGACCTAGACAAATTAAAGGGAACAACCATAATTTGTCAACAGCCTATAGATAGTTAATTCCAACATCATTGTTATCATAGAGGATCATAAAGAGTGAATTCCTTATTTGTTTTATGTTCACATACAGAATAAATTGGTACACATCTGATCAAACAAAATCCTAGGCTTCTGAGAAAGCTACAAGAATGAAAGGAAAATAAAATATTCCTATTCTACAGTCACAAATTACAAAATTTACTTTCATATCATTACTTTTTGGTGGTAATTCTCTATCACCACAACATTGCACAGCCACTTAATGAGACCAAGATAATTCCATCACACACCGTAGTGGGAATAACATAAGACAACATTTATTATTTACTATTATCAAGTGCTGTTCTGTGTGCATGAAATATCTTATCCCATTTAATATCCACAACTCTATTAGGTAGGTACAGATGAGGAAACAGACTCAGAAACATCAAACAACTTGCCCAAGGCGTACAACTAGTCTTCAGCTCATTCTGTCTCTAGGTTCTTAATTATCTGCTATGCATAATAAACTTCAGATTCATGTATAAGAAGAGACTACAGCCAAAAACATTTAAACTGAAAAGAATGTGTTCACTGTATTAATGTTTTTTAAAAAAAGAAAAAATCCTACACACTCCAACAAGTTTTAGTACTCTTGCCAAAAAGAAAAAGCAAATAGATTCCAACTAGACTATACTTCCATTTATATTTAGAGTATGAGCTGTGCATGAGTCTGTAATGAATATATATATGTGCGTGTCTGTGTGTATAACACTCACATTATTCAAAAGCTCCCAAAAATGTGAAGTTTGTTCCAATCCTTCTCTATTTTGTCTACTTTAAGAATTCTTTGCAATATGCTTATGTAAATACTGATTTTAGCTGCTGTTCTCATTTCTCAAATCTTCAGCTTATAAATGGATTGGAAAAGTGACAGACCTAAGCAGACATCTTTGGAACACAAAACCAAGGATATAAACAAATATAACTAAATCAAAAATAAAGACTTCTTCAAAACCTTTAACTTATCACTACCAATAAATGAAAAGAACTAAAAGAAAGTAGAACATAGTGTGTGTGTATGTACATACACACACACATGCATATACTCAGGTGGGTATCTATTTTATTAGAATACACAATGGTCAACATTTTACCTTAGTTCATTAAAAACTCTACAGGAGCATAAAAGCTAAATGAAAGAAGATTCTGTAGTTAGAGTAATGTTGGGGCATGAGACAGTATTTAAGAAAATAGTTCCAGGTTGTTAAACCGAAGAGGTGAGTGCCTTCAGTTTTCTTATGCCAGAATTCACATTATGGTTCAATTGCATTAATAGCTCATTAACTCTGCAGGTGATTTGCCTTTGTCCACACTTGAAAGAGATGCTGAAGAGAGTCAAAGAATCAGCATTCCACTTACCTGATGGTTAGCCTTCATTACAGACAGAGGTAAAGGCTATTACAGCACCACAAATCATAAAGCACAGTACAAAGAATATGTAGGCATGAAAACACTATAAGTTGTGAATATACTATTTCCACTCAAAAGTGTGAAACTCAGAGACGTTGAAATTAGCACCTGAAATTAAGTATTACGTGTGATATTGTTAGAATGAAAACTGAAATAGAAGACTTTTTGATGAGGACTTGGCAATCCTATCAATGCATTTTGCACTCTGATATAATAATCATATTATTGGAAACACATTCTAAGTTGCACATTTTTGTCATAGTTGAGAGCCGAACATACATCTGGTATGTATCTTCTCCATGTAAGCTAGTAATACTACAGACTTTTTTATATAAGCAAAGTAATACCAAGAATAATTTTACCAAAATAAGGCAAAACATTTATACTCACCCAACACTGTGTAAATGTAAAAACTATTTAAGACTCATAATTGCAAAGACTCTTTATTCATAAGAGTGTATTATCAGAGAATTAGAATAAACATTCCCAGAAATGGAAAAATAAGTGACAAAAAGCTTAATAAACTTCTCGCTGTTTCTAGACATGACCTTCAGAATGATCATATTGACAATAAAAAAAATACTAGAATGTTCAGTCTGCAAGTCATCAAGGGCTAAGTTAGGTGCTTTGGCCTTGTTCTGCTGAAGAAAGCAGAGAGAATTTAGCTTTTGGATAGAGAATAGACATTGGTAGTCTCCAGATTTTACTTCCAGCATCTCAACCCACATTCAGCCTGGTGTGAAAAGATGGCAGATGGGATGACTTCTGTTATTTCGACTGCTGAAGCAGAATACTGCTTCAGCATCCTGCCTGTTTCTGTAAACATGAATATTCAGCCACAATAAGGAGCAAGGATAAGCGCGCTGACTGTATTAAGCAGGTACCAAAAATTCTTTATCCTTTTTCTCCTCATATCATCGATTAAGACCGAAAAAAAAAAATCAACATTCAGAAAATGTCATTTCTACCAACCTCGAAAAAGACTTATTATTCAATGAGATTATGCTGGCTTTCATATATTTAATGTAAATGTATGGAGGGAAATGTGTAGGCAGAAGAAAACCACAGTAATTGGCATTTTAGAGGGGAAAAATTTCAAGGTAACTAAACTGAACCAGTAATTATTTTCGACTTTATTTTATACTCATGATTTCATTATTTTCTCCGAAAATGTTGAGCAGGTATTAAGAGTATATCAGTGTTCACGATTTAAAACACAAATCCAATTCCTTTAAATTTCACAACAAACCTCTACACTGGCATATTATCCTGTTGTGTAAATAATGCCTATTTGTAACTCTTTTTTGCTTATATCTTGGAAGGGATTAATGAATCCAAAAAGGATAATTTTGCTATAAATAAAAGAAACAGTGATAATATCTCTATGAGAAATATTGTGATATTCCCTAAGGTATGTTACCATCTCTACCCCTCCCAAAAGACAGAGAATAAGGTCTAGAAATAAAATACACCTATATTTGCTAAAATGAGGAGTTTAGTAATTGCTGAAAGAAAATCTAAAGGCCACCTATTAAACACCACATCTCATCAAAATAAAAAAAATGGCAATTCATTGTAAATGGTGGGAATTTCTTCAAGAAACCTTATAAGTGAATAAATACCTCAATGCATAATTTGAATTCCACCCTCCATGTCACTTCTTTCTAAAAGACAACTATGTAGGAAGGTGGCATGAGCCATCAGTTTTCCCTGTATCTCCCTCCTCTCACGGCCAGGTAAGGAGCAAATGTCCCGGGTGCCAGGAACCAGACACACATCTCAGACTTACTTATGATCCCAAGGGCCCAGCAAGTTTTATATTTTAAAAATAAGAACAATTGTTAACAGAACGATGGATATCAGTCTGCTCTTTAGGACTGAGAGGGAATTTCTTCGATATTTTCCACATCCTAATGAGCATACATTATAGAAGTAAATCAATGCCAATGCAAGGCACACATGTGGAAGTAGAGATAAACTTACGAAGTAGCCTGTTCCCAAGCTGGAAGGAGCTGAACTCTGCAATAAAGCATAAAGACAAAGTGGAAAATCAGCAATGGCTTTTAACACGTTCCAATCCACACAGCTCATTACCAGCCCTTTGCAGGCTTTTCATCACTACATCACATAAGCAGTGTATGCTGCCCCTTGTCATCTGCTACTGATACAAATACTGTGTTGCTTAATTTTCCCCTTTACATCTCTCAACAACTCAGAGATGCTAACGTGCTATTTACTGAATTCCAAGCTTCTGCAGTGGACGTAATTGCCAATTTATTTGACAGGCAGCTGAGTAATGAATTAATGATGGCATTTCGTCCTGCACTGAGACTAAACAGACATGCATCAGCCTGCCTCCCTGACTTGCTGACATTCAATGTCCTGGTCTCAAGCTACTCAGTTTTGTGGCCACAAAGGGGCAGGCAAGAGGAAAAAGCCCAGACTGACTTGAAAATAAAAAGCCCAGTGGGTTTGGATGACTTTTCCAGTGTATGACCTACTTGCCAGTGTATTCCCTAAAGGCGCCAGTTAGTACACACAGAGTGCTTTACAAAAATGAGACATTTTGTAAACAGAATTAGTAGACTAAAATGCAAAGAATGTGTGGGTAAAGGGAAGCACTGAAAGGCACCATTTTTCTGAAGGTTTTAGTCACAAAAATTATCAATTTAGGCTTCTGGAATTCTGACACACAACGAACTAAAAAAAACAATAATTCTGAAAGGTACACCGGGCATCTCTTCTTTGGAGAAAGAGGCCGAAAAAAGAACTTGGTTTGTGTTGTAAACTTGTCTGTGATTAGTTCTTGTTTGTATGTTTCTTTTTTTTCTAAAACCTCTCATTACAAATTCTTTAATTTTTCGTGTCCCCTTCATGAACAAGAGAGGACACAAATGAGCTTGAAACAAAAAGAATGCTACTGCTGAGGCAGTCTTCAGGTCTCAGCGAGGGGTCCTTGTACCAGCAGGGCCTTCTCACTGACTAGCTTGGGTCAGGTGTTACACCTTCCTGGAGTGGCCTGACTTTCACTCTGATGCAATGATTACTCAGTTGAGCTGTAGCTCTTTCACCTAAATGTCCTGCCCCTGCTCTGCAAACTAGAGGCAGCAGAGACCATCTGGTTTACTCATCATTGCTTCTCCAGAGCCTAGGACAACGTCTTGCACACATTTAATAAGTATTTATTGAATTAATGTCTAAATAAATGAATGAATGAATTGTACAGGGGAAATTAAGGCTTAGACAAATTTAACATTTCCAAAAGTATAGTAGATATGATTCTTCTTGATTTAAACTGGTTTTGAGAAGGAAATATAGTCCTGTGAGCACAAACAGCATACACATCAAACAAGGATAGTGTGCTCCAGGACATTCCTAAATGCAATTCCCAAAGCAAAACTTTCTTCACCTCAGTGTTTCAGACAAGCTCAGGAGAATGAAGGATGATAGATGTGTGATTCTGCACTTTGGACTTGCTTTAAAAAAATCGTGCTGCATTCTTGATCCCATAAATGGTATGTAAGGAGGTCCAAAGAAGTCATGGAGACAGCTTCTCATAGCATTGATTAGCCATGTGACAGCATCATCTGTTTTCAGCACCAAGAGCCCTCCATGGAGCAGAGGAAGGCAAAAGCCAAGTTAGATCTCCACCAGGCTGGAGTCATGACTCTGGGAGGTAAACTCATTTTAGGATGAATTTCTCAGAGAAAATAAGATACTAGTTTATTTCAGGGTTTTTTTCCCCTTTCCTGCAAATGTATTCTATCCCAGAAGCAGAAGTTCCCCCTCAAGACCCACCTCCCACCCGCATGTACATATCATCTTTTTGTATACCAAAGAAAATGACATCCTTCAGGTCTCAGAAAGCTCTGTTATACTCATTTTGCATATATATTGTACATTACTCAGGGAGCTGGGTGGAGAAGAGGGCTTTGTTGTGCATATTTGTTCTGGCTATTGTTTATGCAGGTCTGACTGAATGAGGGAACAGTGGGTATCATTTCAATTTCTGATGTCAACATCAAATTACTTATTTAATTTCATGCCTGGCGAAGCATTGTATAGCTACACGCAGAATCATTTCACTTCATTTGTTATGCTGTGTTTTCGTGGCGACTGGCTTGCCTTCCAACTGACAGCTTTAATTACGACATGAATTTGATTGCACTGCCGAGGAATTATCATAATGCAACAAAGCATTTAAGCACCCTGCCTTAAAATACTCCCCCCTACACACACACATACACATGCACATGCACAGAGAGACACATGAAGGAACAGTGACACTAGATCCTCAAGTACATTAAAGGTCCACTCAGGTTTCAGCATGTGCTAGAAAGCATACAGAACTTAGAGTCAGAGGGTACCCACAGCTGCGAACCCACTGTACTCACCATATTTTCTTTGAATAGGAAAAGATTTGTGGCACTAATATGTGATTTCTACACTTGGCAAAGAACTTTGTAGAAAAATCCTTCTAATCTACTTTGTCAAATGTCCACGGCATTGACGTTTCCTCCCTTTATTTTCCCTCCTCCACCATATTTTTCTTGGCCAAGTGCCAGCTCCCTTCAATCACAGCTAGAGAATTTGAACAGAAACAACATCTCTGAAACAAAGAGATTTCTCCTTCCAGTTCTACAACCCCAAGAATCTGGCTATGACCTTGTATTCAGTGGTCACCCTGGTCACCAATAGAACTTCCACCATCAGATACAGGTAACAGAAGTTTTGAGACCAACAACAGGGCAGGAGTCAGGGTTTCACTGATAGCTCACAATACACACTATATCCCCGGTCCTTGCTATCCAAAAGGCCCAGAAGAGTCTTGGTCATGCATGCCTAATCTAAATTTGTATCTAAATATAGCAGAAAATATTTGATAGCTTTAACAGTTTTCCAAGTCAAAAATTCCATAAACACCTCAAACCATGGGCAACACCAAATTATGCTACAAAAATGGAATAAATGTTTATAAACAGCTTTTTATTGTTCGAAATGTGTTATGTTAGTTACTTATTTACCCATGTGCATTTAGGAATTGGTACTGCTTTCTCATGTTACAGGAAGAGACAGACACCACGAGGTAAAGGCCTAGGAAAGCAGACAGGTGGTGACGCCCTCACCACCGAACCATCTAATGGAGTCAAGTTGGTTTCAACTTTCTATGTTTCCCTAGTCAATTTCTAATGAGAAGAAGGGTCTTCCATTTTTCTTGCTTGAAGAGAGAAGGCAAACTCTGTCCAAGCAAAACAGCCTTAGAATCCAGAAAAGGCTGTGAGTCACACCGAGGCTTGAAAAACGAAAGGGTGTTTTTAAAGAATGAACAAACAGGATGTCACCAAGATGGGGGAGTGAGTAGTCTTCTTTGTCTCTCCCCCTTCTAATCTACAAATAATTGGACATTCATCGGTTAACAAAGGATATCCGTATAGCATCTCAGGACGCCTGAGAGACCTGTGCTGCTATACATCAGTAGGCAGATGGACTTCCCCCCGGGAGGAGGTGGAGATAGGTGAAAACGCTCCAATGCCAGATCCCCGGACAGCCTAGTACCTGCAAGCAGCTTTCTTCCAGTGGACACCCCCATAGCATCGCCATGCACCAAGGGTGGGTGTGTGCATGCACCGGCGGAGCGACAGTGGAAACTGGTGACTACAGCCCTACCTAAGCCCCCTGCAATTACCCCAGGACCAGGGGGAAACTCCACAGTCCTGCACCAGCAGCAGGGAAAGCTTCTACTCATCATTAGCAGAGAGGCTCCACCCAGCATTCAGAATGCTGGGAGGCTCCCGAAGAAGAGGATCCTGGGCAAGGCAGCAGCACACCAACCGCCTCTGACTCATGGACTCCGGCTGTATCCCAGAGCGGGCAGGGGCACCCAGAGATCCCGTGGGCATGGCCGGGGGCTAGGTGGAGCTCCAGCGACCTGGCTCTGCAGCCCAGAGGGACACTCCATGGGCCCGCACCAGTGGCAGGGAAAGCCTCTACTCAGCGTTAGCAGAGAGGCTCTGCCCAGCATTCAGAACGCTGGGAGGCTCCGGGAGAGGAGGATCCCAGGCAGCGCAGCAGCCCACCAGCCTCTGACTCATGGACTCCTTCTGTGTCTCAGAAGGGGCAAGGGAGACCCAGCGATCCCGTGGGCATGGCCCAAGGCTGGGTGGAACTCCAGCGGCTTGGTTCCATGGCCCAGGGGGAAAATCCACAGTCCCACAGCAGCCACGTGAAAGCCTCTGCACAGCACTAGTGGAGAGGCCCTGACCAGCAATCAGAAGGCTGGAAGGCCCTGGGGCAAAAGTAGCACAGCTAGGTGAGCTAACCACAGACTGCAGAAGATACCCATAGCTCTGCTGTGGCCTACAGTGGACAAGTGATATCTTGTGGGAACTGACAGTGACGGAGCTGCAAATATAGGTGATCCTGCTCCCGGTCACTGGGAAAGCCCATAACACTGCTGCAGATCCTAAGGAGGGAGCGTGTCTAGGTGGTCTGCAACAGTAGGCACCAGCAGCCTGAGGACCCATTGCGATTGCCACCACAGCTGACAAGGGACCCCACAGGACCACTGTGACTACGAGAAGGGGCCCAGGTCCAGTAAGCAACAGCTGACAGGGTTCCTGGTCGGTGCAGTCTAAGCAGCTGCTCCCCAGCCACACCAGTAGAAACAAGTGGAAGCAGTAATTAAACTCTATCTCTATGCGGAGGCACAAATCCACGACATCAAGCAGTATAAAAAAATATACTAAATCTCCAGAACAGAAGCAAAATGACAAGTACCCAGAAAACAATCTCAAAGACAATGAAATCTATAACATAAATGACAATGATTTCAAAACAGCCATTATTAAAAAGCTCACTGACTTAAAAGAGAATTCAGATAGACAACTCAATGAGTTCAGGAGCTATGTCACAAAAGAGCTTGATACTATAAAGAAGAACCAGTTAGAAATACTGGAGATGAAGAACACAATGGAAGAGATTAAGAAAAATCTGGACTCTCTGAACAGTAGGTTTGATAA